AGAGGCTGCTTTTTTCAGAAGAAGTTTAAAGATCACCCAAGGTTTCATTTCCATGTGCCATCAAAATTTACCAGAATCGGACGGGATTTCACTGAAACCACAGAATAGATCTCTCAAAAAACAGGAATCATCAATTTCATGATGATTTCATTAATGTATGTTTAGAACTGTCTTTGTTGGAAGTATACTGTAAGTAGATTTTTGACTGATTACATGGCTTGACAGACTGAAGCCAAGAAAAGAATTGTGCATCTTACAGGTGGATGGGCAACAACAACATCAAAAAGTTACCTGAAAACTTGTTTGCGGGGCAGGATAAGCTAAAATATCTGTGAGTGGTACTAAATTGTTTAACTATGCGGCGAAAATTTTTTCATTTATACATATATGAAATTCGAATAAAACCTGAACTTAAGAAATGACCAACATTTCAGCGTGGAAAGCTCGTTTCAGTTAGTCCACTTACACCACCCGAATATTCTGGTGGCATATTCACCTTTAACCAGCGGGCTTCAGTGTCAGTTGCAATCTCTGATCAGGAGTCGATCACTAACCGAATGAACTATCAAAGGAGTAAGACACAATGCATCTATCACTTAATCGTCATTGCTGACCTTTGTTTTATTTGAGTCGTCCTGGATCGCAGGAACGGTTGAAAGGCGTAGAAAATAACTTAAAAGGAAGAATTGATTTCACCCGACAAAAATTCCAAACAACCCGAGCGTCCGTTATATATCGTCCCTATGGAAGTAGTCCTGAAATGATGGTGGAAATGATGTATGCGTTAACACTGACTTCTCGACAAGATGAGCGCGATTTTGATCAGAGTCAAATGAAATAAAATAGCCTTGTCCATTTAAACTGGATAGTCATGAAGAAAATATGAACTTCGGTAAGTGACAAACTGAACCTCTTGCTCAGCCTTCAATGAAGACAACATTGTCCTGTTTATCACAGAATGCTACTTCTTTGGCTCTACTTTCTGAAAATATTTTCTGCCGTGATCAATTCATAGTTAATTTCTTATTTGTTACACTGATAATTGTATAGTGAGTACACTAAATTATTACACGGTTCTGATCAGCTACAAAAGGTTGTATTTCTCATGTAACACGTTTGTAAATTTGTAAACAAGGTTAAAATTACAAATGGGCTTTGATTGGCTCAAAAACAAGAGAAATCAACAAAAACAAATACAAGAAAAGTTTCTTTCACAGAAGTCAGAAATAAGATCTGAGAAAACAACGGCCAATAAGTTTGCACACAATGACTTGGGTTTGCACGTACCTAGTCACAGTTAAGAGAGCTTATTCTTAGCTGAATGTGTGGAAACGTGGTTTGAAGCCGCGAAAAGTAATGACAACGGAATCGTGGAAAAAAAAGCCAGCGAATGAAACAAATCACTTGAAAGTTTCTAAAACCAAAAATAATTGAAATACGATTTAAATAGCCTAAGAGGGATGATAGCTACACTCGACAGGTAATGAGATGTACAAGTCAGAATATGAGAGGTCCATAACAAAAGCAGACGTCCGTATAAAGCGCCAAGTTTTACTGAAGAGGAAGAAGAGGTGCAATGGAAGGCAGAAACTTTTGGTTCTAAAAACTCCACACGCTCTTATTTCTTCTATGTGGTGGCTTTAAATGCTATCTTTTGGTTCCCGTGGCCGTCAAGAGCATCGTGGAATGAAGTAAGATGACTCAACTATGAAAAAATGACGAAGGCGTGGAGTTCGTGCCGTTTGCAGAAGGTCCAAAAAAGACGAGACAGGGCGAGCTTTAGAGTAAGAACATAGATTTCCAACCTGATTGAAAAAGGTTTCCGGTAGCTCTCTTCAAGCGGTTTGTCTAGCGAGGACCTCTAAATATGCAATGGCTGGGTACCTTCTACCTCAGTGTCTAACGGAACTGAATTGAATGACAATGTCCGCTTTAAAAGCCAACCGTTGAGCCAATGATGCAACGTGATGAAAACAATTGTGGTGGGTAGTAGCCTTCGACAAAGGATGGAAAAGGTCACGAATCACAGTGCAGGAGCCGGCCCATTATGAGCAGCATCGAAAGAAAACCAATTTCTACTTTTACATTCGGGTTTGAAGTCTCTGCGAATGCGGTCACATCTATAACGAGGTATCAAGAAGAACAGACCATGGTGAAGACACTTAAAAACTGACAAGTTTCTCTCATGCTTGGCCGCTCAAAGCGCGCACCTAGGATTTGAAAGCGACGGTCGAGTTCTAATAGATGCTAAGCTTTAATAGCCGAGTTTGAATCTGATAGACCAGTACAAGCCGGGCACTTTTGCTGATCACTGCACAATGAATTTTTTTCAGAACGTTTTTGAATGGTTTAAAATCAATCTGCACACGTTTCCAAGCTTACAGCTGAATAACTTTTGAATGAAAGTCTTGATAAAGTTTGAATTTAACAAACACTGTAATCTGTTTCGGCCAATCATTTGGATGCATCTCAGAAATTCATTTAACGAAGATCTTAGGAATGTTCCTTGGCACGTCGTTGACAATGAAAACAATATCGATGACGCTTTATTAACTTGGAACAAACTGTTTTCAGAAGTTGCAGACGATCATGCACCTGTCAAACGACGACGTGTGAAGGGAACACCTCTTCCTTGGATGAATAGCAAAATTAGCGAATCAATGAGAGATCGAGACTGGTATCATCGTAAAGCACGTAAATCGAACTCAGAAAAGCACTGGAACACTTACAGGAAACTGAGGAACAAAGTAAACCGCTTAGTAAAATCTGCTAAGTCAAAATATTACTGTGACATGATCGAGGAAGCCAGAGGAGATCACGGCAAAATGTGGAAAGCTGTAAACGAAGCATGCAATCGTAATTCATCCTCAGAAAAGGTTCAGTGCATCATTTCCGATGGCATTCAGCACACCACTTCCAAATCCATTGCTGTTGCTTTGAATAGCTTCTTTGCATCCATAGGCAAGCGCCTAGCTGACAAAATAACGACTACCTGGTCGAATTGCAACTTGGTTTTAGAACAACCGTTGTCTCAGTTCCAGTTAACTGAACTAGAGGAATCGTTTGTGCTTCAGCAGCTTACCTCTTTGAAGACAAATAAAGCAATTGGTTTGGACAAAATTAGTGCTAGACTACTCAAGAGCTCTGCTAATACAATCACTCCCTCCATCACTAAGCTGTTGAATCGATCGATTCTTACTGGTAAATTTCCTAAATTGTGGAAATGCTCAAAAATTACAGCCTTGTTTAAATCTGGCGACCGGTCAAATGCATCGAACTATCGACCTATCTCTATTTTACCGACACTCAGTAAAATTCTCGAGAAAGCCGTGCATTCCCAGTTGTACCAATACTTGGTTATTAACAACCTTCTCACAAGGAAACAGTTTGGATTCAGGAAGGGGCTCTCTACTGAATCTGCTTTGACATCATTTGCTGATGAAGTCTTATTGAACATGGAACAAGGTAAACTGTGTGGGGCCGTGTTTTTGGATTTAACCAAGGCTTTCGACACCGTGGACCATCGGATTTTGTTACGCAAGCTTTCCAAAATTGGTTTATGTGAGAACTCGCTTCAGTGGTTCCGCTCTTACATTACTGACAGGAAACAGTGTACATGTTGTGGGAATGAGTTGTCTGATGAATTGCCAGTTACCCATGGGGTCCCTCAGGGAAGTATTCTGGGTCCTCTGCTATTTGTCATCTACATTAACGATTTGCCAAGCGTTCTAGATGCCTGTCAAGCATCACTTTATGCAGATGACACGGTGATCTACTGCTATGGGTCTTCCTCTCAGGAGCTGACTGAAAAGCTCAACCAAGACCTCCTGGCTGTGGCGAAATGGCTGAATGAACATAAGTTAACACTGAATCTGGAGAAAACCAAATGCATGCTTATAGGCAGTAACAAGAAGTTACAGAGGAAAATAGCTCTAACTGTTTCAATCTTTGATCATTGTATAAACAATGTTACTTGTTTTAAATATCTTGGAATCTTAATATCGTCTGATTTTTCGTGGACAAATCATGTCGAATACATGGCAGGGAAAGTTAATCAAAGGCTTGGCCTACTTAGACGCATTAAGCATTTGTTACCGTTTAAGGCGCGCATCCTTTTTTATAAAAGCCTTGTTATGCCCTTATTCGAGTATGCTGATTTAGTTTGGGGAGACAAACATAATGTAACTTTAATGTCTAGTTTGCAAGTGCTTCAAAATAAGGCGGCTAAAATAATATTAGATCGACCACTGTATTCCTCTGCGTCTGATGCGTTAACTACACTGAAGTGGTTAACACTAGAAAAAAGGCGCTTCCAGCGCCGATGCGTACATGTATATAAATGTCTTAATGGTCTCACGCATCACGAATTAACATTAGTCACTCAGCAAGAACAGCATAGTTACAACACAAGAAATAAAGCAAACCTCAAAATTCCATCCGTTAAAAGAAACTGGGGTAAACAAAGAACTGGCTATCATGCTGTAAGTGATTTTAACTCGCTGGACAAAACTATACGAGCCTCTGATAATGTAAATATTTTGAAGCGTCAGATTTTTAATTCATTGATTTAAGTTTTGTGTTACACATAAGACACATTAGTTTTTAGTAGCATCTTTTAGCATTTTTATTCATTGTAAATTTTTAATTTTTAATTTTCGAGGTCCTTTTTGTAAACCACTTTTTAGTGAAAAAGTTTCCTCATTAAAGATTGTCATTATTATTATTATTTATTAAATAAAATAGCAGCGTGCGGTGTCAAAATTTCCCTTATTTTGATCTTCTTTCTTCCTTTTTTCTTTTATATTATATTACTTGTTAATTTTTCAAACTAAAAATTGCACTGATTCAAGAGGCTTTTGTTCGTCTGAAAAATGTGTTCGTGCTTTTTTAGACGCTTATTTAAACAAGCTTCAATGCTAAATCATGTGATTACCCATGCAAACCGTAATTCAATACATTTTGCTCAATTTAAAACTATATTGTTGTTCTCCCAATGCAGGCGGTTGGGCGGCAATCAGTTGAAAGAGCTATCACGTGAAATATTTCTTGATTTGTCTGCCTTGGAAGAATTGTAAGTAACAATTTTTTCCAAAAGTTTTAGAGATATCACTATTCTGTACATTGCGTTTGTATGAGATCCACTGTTATCAACTGGTTTAAAACACAGCACTGAATTATTAAGAATAAATCTATTAATCTTCGGGGGGGGCAGAGAGAGTTAATCTTCTCAAATTTTTAGCAAAAATTCGTGATTCTCTAATTTTAAACGTTGTCTTAAACATCAAACATCAAACACGTTTTCTGTTATCTTTAAATGAACGCACAATCAGACAAAGAATCTATTTGTGTGATAATGAAGAAACAGAAAGTTGTTAACGGTGATGTTATCCAGGGGGTGCCTCGACCAAAAGATCATCAGTTAGGACCAATAAAAATGCATTTATAATTCAGCTTATTAACAAATTTTTTTAAATTGATTCATCGAATATGGATGCCTTGTCACATGGTGAATCAAACAGCTTGCATTCACATTTAAGTTTGTCGATAAACTAGCCAGCATACAACTGTCTTTTGGTATAATGATTGAAAATTTTTAGTTAGGCGTTGTTGAATGAATTTTGTTGGATAAGAAATACAGTAATCTTCGACGGACACGTATCAAAATCATTTTCCTTATACGGTTCCGCAAATAAAGTCGATGCCCATAATAGTGGGCATAACATCTATTTATGGCACTCGAAAACTTATTTAGTTAAAGACATTTGACCCATTAGTTAAAAGTGTCTGTTAACGGCAACTTTTGACAAGTTCTATTCACTTCGCTCTCCGATTATTTCATTGCAAGGGACTTGTCCTACAATCAGTTGCAGTTTTTGCCCCGAGGGATACTTAACAATAATATCAAGCTGACAGAACTGTAAGTAAAACTGATTGTAAAAAAAAAAAGAAAAGCAAAGTTACAGGTCCAATATAGATAATTAATGATGGTGGTCTTTAACTACTTGAAGAGTTTGCTTATTTCTGCTTCGACGTGATCCGTTATCGGCGGATGAATTGATTCACTAAGTGGGTTTTATTTAGGGTTAGAACTCAGAATGCGTTCGGTGGGGAGGGCCTACCATTAATTATTGTCTCAAAAGAAAGATCTCTCAGTTTACTGCATGTAGCTATTTTTCACTGAGTGAATCTGCTGCATACATATTGGTGATTCCTGGCCATTATTTATGGGGTATTCAAAATGTCTCTATTCGCAAAATTTATATTTGAAAACACGTTGCGGTATAAAACTGGTTGGCTCGTTTGGCTCTTGTTTGGCTCATACCAGAAGAATTAAGTAGCGGGCTATCAGCCAATTATTAAAATAGGATTTAAGTTCTTGAACTGTTATTTAGCTTACTGTTATCTCAATAAATACTCTAAGGGATTTATCAAACAACGAAATTCAGCGTCTGCCCATGGATGTTTTTGGCAACCTAACTCAGATGAAAAAGCTGTAAGTGGCATTCAGTACAAACTCCATAGCAAAGGGAATTATGATGTATAGTTTTTCGTAGCGCTTGAAGTAAACATATGCATTATGACCATTCTAAAAATAGAGTTTTGTGGATTTAGATTTTTTTATTATTTCAAGATGCGTACTGCCTTTATGTAATGCTAACTTTGGTGGAGTTGGTCATCGAGAACAATTGAAAAAAAAAAGGTCAATATTAAATTCAATTGTCTCACACAGCCTTTTGCTTCACGTGACTTGTGACTATAATTTTTTCGCTAAGTAACCAGGGAACTCTGTTAAGATTGATTTGAGATGTAAGTGACTTATTATAGTTTGGTGCATCAGTACTGAAAAGTGATGTCATGCTATGAAAACGCCCATTTTAACAATGAACGCGCAAATGGTATCTTTTGCCTAAATTCTCAGGATCAAGAGTAATCAGTTTATGTACTCAGCAAAATAGCTTTCCCATGAAGAAACAATTGGGTTTTATTTCATGCCTATTCGGAGAGAAAAAGAACCTTTCCAAGAATCTCAAATTCTATTTCAACTGATTTTTTTTTCATTTTATATATCACTCACAGCTTACTCTCCAGTAACAAACTTCAGCGCTTGCCAAGGTTCAAAAATCTCTCCGAGTTGAAAATATTGTAAGTGATTCACGTTTGTGATATAACTGGCTCAGTACGTGTCTTGTATAATGAGCATTAATTAAAGGTAGCGTTGGCCAAAACCAAAGGATCAGCTTGGATACGGACTATTTCTCTGGCATCTTCTTATGACTTAAAAGTTTGTTTAAGGATGTTAAATGATTGCGTAAAAAGTTGAATTATACATTCACTTTGGAAAGAGATACCATCAACTAAGAACTACTCAAGGGTCAAATATTGAAGGTGATAAAACAAAATACAATACAACACATCTCGTACATTACTTTAATAGCACCCTCCCCTTCGGGCTTTACAAGGACCATACGCTAGAAACGATCGCTGATGATTGATGATTAACCCAAATCAAACTTCAATGATCAATTTTTATTTTTCTTAAAAAATGTATGAAATTGTTTAGCGGTTATCAAAACATTGTCGTCAATATTGAGTTTATTTGGGTTTTAAATGAAAACGCAGGATCTATAAATTTCAGTTTTTACCTAACTGTTTTCTAGCAGCTTTTCCAGATGTTCCAGAAAAGGGTTGTTCAAGCTAAAAGTATAGAATTCCGGGTGATGCGATTAGAAATACGAGCTTTAACTCGATTGCAAAAGTAAATGGGCGCACGTCCGATCATTCATTTAATTTTCACAACAGCGTTACCAAGGTTTAACCATTGTTTACCTGGTGGCCAGCATAGTCCTTTCGGTGAAGGCGTAACACGATGGAACTTAATTGTTCTTGTCACAATGCACGGGGCAACGTCTTGGTCCAAATACATTTATGAGATGTTTTTTCAGGAAGTGTTGGAGCACACTGATGAGCAGTAGAACAGTTTGCCGAATACCAAGGCGTTAATACGCTTTCGAAGGAGGTTTCCATAATAAGCATGTTTAATTCGACTGACTTTAATTAAAGATGAAACAGTTTCTATAATATAAGACAGGGTTTGGGACTAAATTAGTCTCGAGGTCCTCAAAAGATTATGCTGAGTCAAGGTTACTTAAGAATCAATAAGTTTCGCAGTCAGCTCTGTGCTGCCAAATATCATTAAGGTCAATAAATACCTCCCCCTATCAAAGACTCTGTAATTATACCGAGCGCCTGTTGCATTTTATTATGTAGATACATGTATAACAACAGCCTCGTACACCTGTCACCTGATCAGTTCCAAGGCCTGTCCAAACTGGAAGAACTGTAAGTAAGCATTCGATAGAAATCATACCTGACTGCACAAGTAACTATTCCTGACCAAATATGTACTTAACCAACTCAGTAGGGCGAATAGACCTTTCTTTCCTCCTCCCACCACTTTTGCCCAAAGTTCGCTAAATTTTTAAGCTAGTGTACTTTGATTGGATAAACCTCAGGAACCTTAGCAGAATTCTGAAAAAGATGCTTTATCATCCATCCAAGACAGCAACTGCCACCTCGGATTTCTCCAGAAAAAGACAGAAAAAGAAGAGAACTAGAGATGTAGCAATTCTCTCCCTCACCCCCGAAAAAAATCAACAGATCAGTGAAACAATGCTTTTATAGAAGTCCAAATACTAGCATGCACTAAGTTTTGATATTTTCAACAAGGTAACCGCAAACTGCATATCAGTCTAACTTTCCGGCTGTGAGGTTTAGTTTTGTTTTTTTGTTTTTGTTTTTGACTTTATTACTATGTTTTCAATATCGGATAGCTCTTGAAGATGTCGTAAGGAGAGGGCATTTAAGAATCAATAATGATAGGAAGAAAGTTGATGTAAATACGTGCTTACCACTAAATTTTTCTATATTTCTGATAATAATGATGTGCCCTCTATGTTGTTCTAGGGTTGTTTACGAAAACAACATTAACTATCTGCCACGTGAAGTTTTTAAAGGCATGAAAAACATAATGACTATGTAAGTAATTGTTTCTAAACTATCCTCTGATTAACGGTAACGAGGTACTGTAAAATTAGTAAGGGTCTCGTGAAGATGCAATTATAGCAATGTATAGCCATTATCTGCGACGAGTTCGGCTCAGGTAAATCAAAAGGCCTACTAAGTTCCAAACCAAAAACACGGACAATCTTCTACCCCCCGAGGACAGAGCATACCTTATGATCAAAACCATGTGTGATGGACGACGAAATATTACGATTGTGAAAGTGAAAACAGGCTGACTAAGAGATTATATTAACTAGAAGAAGAGTGAACCACCAAAAGGCAAATCAGACAAAACCTTGAGAGACACCAGGTCTCTTTAACCACCAAAAACAAGATCCTGCTAAGGTATCCCCTTCCAGATTCAAACACTGAGTTTACAAAGACCTCTAGCGTGAAAACCTCTCGAGGGTAAGCATGACAATACTCATGGGGTTACTTAAATCGGCATCGGTCACGCGGATAGAAATAGATCTATCAATGGCGACTTAAATAGAGAATGTTCTGTTCATTCTTGATAACTTAACTGTCACTTTGAAGAACTTCTCAGTAAAATGAAAATTCGTAAAAATACTTATGTGACATTATTGTATGGCGCACTGCCTACTGTACGGTGAGGTTCTTTTCTCGTTGCAGAACATTTTGAACAAATGGAAGATATTGCCTTCCATCCTTGACTAATTTTCTGTCCAGTGTTGTTTTAATTTACGCTTTAATGCTTGTCAGATGACGCTCTACACTTTTCACTGTTTCATCGTTCTGTAGGAACTTTTATTTCAACAATATCCGCACCGTTACCAATGAACAATTCGAAGATGTCGCCCCAAGTATTCGATTCCTGTGAGTATGAGTAAACTGATAATATTCCAGGTGTGTTCAAACTACTTTGAGTTCAAGGGAGACAGATATTGTCGGTGCGACCTTCACGTGCTTTAAACTCACGGATAAGCACCCCTCCCCCATTTTAATGAATGTACAAGTGATCATACCACTGGCCGAATTGTTTAAGAAGGGAAAATGGAGTAAACGATTTTCACATACATACCACCACTGATATACTAAGAGTACCAACTGTGCCGCTATTATCGATCGGCTTTGTACATTAATGCACAGTTTATTCTTTTATTTTCGCCCACATGTTATACTTCTTGGGGCGATCATATCTGGTCACAAGAAAAAGTTTGGGAAAAACTTAAGGGAGGGCCCCTCCCCATAAAGTACCCTCTCTGTAGTGGGCGACCCATCTTTTCAACCTAAATTTGAAATGAGTGCACCAGGTGCTCTTTGGAGGATTAACAGCCTATGAATATAACAAATAAAGACACTTCGACATAGCCTTTGTAAGTGTGTTTTACATACTCGATGACGAGTTATCCCTCTTCGGTGTTAGTTATCTTTCAAATAGTTGTTGAGAATTGGGCAGGAAAAGGAACAAGAGAGAGCCGAAAACTGATTAATACATAACGGTAATAGGACTGAGTGGAGTCCAATTCGGTCTGTAATCATACGAGTGATCAACAAAATCAGACGACGGCGAGGTGGGAGTCCGATTTGTTAATCACGACTATGATTACACACAGAATTAGATAACAAGAAGTCCTGTTACTAAGTAATCATAGCCATTTGAATTTCCGAAAAAACAAATTCACCTAAAACAAATATCTCCAGTAGAGACGATGTCTTAAGTTAAAAATTCCTCCATTTTGAAAATTCCCCAGTTTTTCTTTGAATAAGTGATTGTTGCTGTGATTATTTCAATCATTTCTGTGATTGGTGGATTAGCTGAGTAGACTTAGTATGATTGGCTGCTTCAACTGTCCGATTACCGGTGTCCGATTACAGCCAACTGTCCGATTACACTGTCTTATTACAACTGTATGGGATGATTAGTGAAAAATGAAGCCGCGAATGCTCCAATAATATTCGAGGAATTAGTAATGTTTGTGATTAATAGGCTAAAGATATCGATGTTATCAAGAATTGGCGAGCAAAGTTTGCCTGAATTACTTTCCTTAAATTTGCAGGTACTTCCATTACAACGAAATGCGAGAACTACCTGAGGGTTTCTTTTCAAACATGAAGTATCTAATAACTGCGTAAGTCAAGTGAAATATTCTCCACGCAAGGAGTTTGAAATTAAAAAATTTCATTTGCCAGTGCCCAGTTATACTGCACTGACTATATTACTATTACACTTTCATTTTCTTGCAAATTTAGATCCTGTGACGAATCAAATTTGTCTTTTTTCCCCTTTTATTGTTCATTTCAACTCTTTTTATGAACCGTAGGACTGTAGACACCAACCTGATGTGTTGCCATTTGACGAAGCAGGATGCAGATTGCGACTTTGCTTATGTCGACAGCTTCGCCAGTTGTGAAACTTTGTTCAGAAATCGAGCTCCTAGGGAGTGCCTTTGGGTGGTTGGAATTATGTCGTTGGTTGGTGCTGTGTTTGTCATTGTGTGGCGGTTGGTGTTTAAGGAGAAGAAGAAGAAAAACAAGATACAGTCCATCATGTTGATACATTTGGCTGGGGCTGATGGACTTATGGGTGTCTACCTCATAACTATAGGTGTGGTGGATGCCATTTGGGCAGGGGAGTATTATTTGCATGACTATTACTGGCGTTCAAGTTTGACATGTCAGATAACAGGTGCCATTGCCGTGTTGTCAAGTGAGGTGTCTGTTATGACGATTTGTTTGCTCTCCGCCGACCGGATGAAGAATATTCTATTCCCCTATCGTGGAAAGTCCCTTACACTTAAGGTTACGCACCTTTTGTGCTTCCTTATCTGGATTGTTGGTGTCATAATTGCATTTATTCCCACGGTGGGCTTCGACTACTTCGGTAGTCGCCAGAAAGGTCATCACTTTTATGGCAGATCAGTTGTATGTCTGCCATTGCAGCTTTCCACTGATAAGCCGTCGGGCTGGGAGTACTCTGTTGCCATGTTTGTGGGTTTAAACTTTACCCTTGTGCTCTTTGTCGTTGTGGCATACACGATGATAATCTATAAGTCCTGCGCATCAAACAGGCGCATGGCTCAGCAAGGGACTGAAAGAGAGAGGAGAATGAAAGCCAAGTCAAGGGCAGCCGATCTGAGGAGGGAGGCCTCGCTCGCCAAAAGAGTGTTCTTCATTGTTCTTACCGACTGTGTCTGCTGGATGCCTATTGTGGTGATTGGAATGAGGTCTCTCGTGGAAAAATCCTTCCGTACACCTGGTGACCTCGCAGTTTGGATCGCAGTCTTTGTTCTGCCGGTTAACTCTGCCATCAATCCCATTCTCTACACTTTATCAACAGTACAGGTAGTAACTTGCAACCTTCATATCTTTGCTTAAACGTCTTTCTGCAGCTTGATCAGCTGAAGTTTGAAGGATACTTTCATAAACATTTTATTCTATCTCGTGAAGAATATCAAAAGAACTAGTTAAAAAGAAAATACATTCCAATTTGCAAGAAAATTTAGTCCTTAATCTGCCAAAAGAAACCATTTCCCATAAAAAAAGTCTCGCAACTGAAAAAAACACCGCGTATACTTATAACGTTTACTTCAACACGTCGTTGAAGTAATTTTTTGAAATAAAAATTTTTTTTCGTTTTTTTACTCGTCATCCTTTTGAGTAGTGGAAGTTGTAGAACTCAGAGGGTGCTATTACTAACTAACCAGTTAAAAAATAAAGATTATATAATTCCCGTACCTTGTCCGGTCATCTAGAACGACAACATTTTCGCGTTGTTCGGCATTAGGTATACCAGCCTTATTACGCTACTTACTAAGATACTAGCAGTGTTTAAATTTTTCTCTACGTGCCTAAAAACTGCGTAACTAACGAAAAATAAAATTGTTTGTTTTCAAGTAATAACACTTCCGGTGAAGTGAAAAGATCGCGCGGAAAAAAAAAAGAGCCCCAACCAACAAAAACGGTTCTGTTTCTGGATGACCTACTAAGCATAAGTGACTAGTACTCTGACTGGTTGAAACCTTCATATTGATCATTTAAGCATTGGACAGCACTCTCGCTCGGTTTACCGGCAGAACATCCCAAGCGAGATGTTGGGAGAACTTCAAAAAGTTTTGAATCACCAGCCGAGAGCGAGGGACTTTTGAACTTTGCGAGTTTCTTACAGACATCCTAAGAGAGTTATTACCCAACTATTTTTAAAAATTAGATCAAGATTGATCGGTTCAGAGAACCATAGGTGTTTGACCAATCAGTACACATAGCATTCCAATTTGTTTTGTTTTGCTCTTTGTTCTTGATGACTTGCATTTAGGTACGACGTGTTCTGAAGGCTAAATTCCAACAGTTCTGGAGCTATTTGGTGGAAAAGTGTGGACGAAATCAAAACAATGAAGGTAAATTTATCGAAAATCATCCTCCGGATAAAAGGACTAAGGATTAAGGATTAAGTACCTGTCTGATTAAGTTTTATTGTCACGTGATTACCTTCTGGCTTCTGTTGCACTTCTGCATGATTATCTTTTAAAGAAAAAAAAGGAAGGAAAAAAATGACTATCTTTGGTGATGTTGATTATATCTTCATACATGATTCACCCATCCACAAATCACTGATATTTACAATGATGAAGATAAATACTATTCGAGTATGTTTGACTAATGTCATTGCTGTTTTCCAAAGGTCAAGATCAGGGCGTTGAAATGCAAGTCATCGAGGAAGGTATGAAATATTTACTAGGCTCAAGTAAACATGGAGGAAAGTCGCTCGATTTCCTTAATCGCTCGGGTAAATCTGAAACGAAGAGAGACAGAATGCTATGAAGAATGGATGGGCAAAGCTGAAAATATGAAAACAGTTTTACGTATTTTCTTGATTAAAACGTCTGGGCGAAACTGCTTATTTAGATCTGAACGCCGTAAGCGTATAATTGAGGTTTAAATCGAGGTTCCGCCCTATAGTTTAAGTCTCACTTTCAAGTAACTATACTTAATTAAAGAGCACTGTTGTCAAATTTATGCAAGAAAATGTTCAAAGGAAAAAGAGTAATCCCTGTAGAATAACGAGCGACAAGTTTTTACGACGGGAAAAACTGAAATTCGTGCCGTATTGACCGACTACTCCTTGAAATCGGAGGATGAGCGAAGAAAAACCGGCGTAAAATGACAAGAGACTAAATCAATGATTAAATTTAAAATAAATGCCGCGGATGTTTAATGAAGAAAATGCGTAACAATCGTTGTTAACTTATTTATTTTTCTTGAAAGAGCTGCTACCCAAGTTTTTGTTCTAATAAAGACTATTGCCCTTTCGTTAGAGTTTATGTCAAACAACAGTCCACAAGATCAATAAAATGTTATGATATACTCTTTGATTTTAAATGATATACTGAAAATGGTACTAAAGGAAGTAGCACCCGTGGTACAATCCACTTTTTATTTTTTTAAACTTTTTTCTTTACAGTTCAAATCCAACAAGACGCAGAGAGTGATGACAGCGATGACAGTGACGAGGAATCGAGAGATCAAAGTGAGCATGAGCAAAACGCTGAGCAGGCCGAGCATGAAGAGCCCGAGGAGAGAGCTGTGACTGAACAAGAAGAAAAACCCGAGGAAGACCACGAAGACCCATCAGAGCTGAAAGACGAACCTAACAAACAAGAAGAAGAATCAGAAAACGAGTTCAAAGAATGCGAAGAGGAAGCGGAAGATAACATGGAACATGGACCTGACAAACAAAAAGAACAACTAGAAAAGGAATTCACAGAATGCGAAGAGCAAGAGGAAGATAACATGGAAGATGAGGCTGGGGAAGGTGACGAGTTAATTGTGAATAAGGGTATGTTTATCAACCCTCTGCTTCTTGTAAAAAAAGAACTTTGATATATTGAGATTATTTTCATCAATTTGGAGGACTATTGGTGAACGATCTCTCTTCATTCTAAACGTTAAACAAATTGTTAGTTTCTACAATTTCGTTACCTCCTTTGCCCTGCTTAACTACGTTCAGCGGTTTATTCGGATAGTGAAGGAACTTTTCCTCATTGGAAAATCTTGGAGCGGTTTTTCTTTCAGCAGTGACAGGAAGCGCTTTTACAAAGCTTACGTTGTACTACGGTGCCCCAATTTATAACAATCTCGCTATGAATTAGTCTAAGCAGAATTTAAGTATTTAACACACGGTACGTGACTGAGTGTCTTCTTTTTTTTCCTTGTGTCATGTGATTATGCAACAGATAAACACCAAGCAGACGATAATCTCCTAGCAGCCTCTGGACGAGAGTCTCCAAGAGCACCGCTGGCCACGTTTGATGATGACTCCGACCTTGATTTTTTTTACCCAGCGCTCGATGGTATAAAAGAAACGAGTGTGTAAACAACAGCACTGTATTCTCAGATGAGTGCATTCGTTACGTAAGAGAAGTACATGTACCTTAAGTGTTGCATTTTTTTCTTGTTTAACAAATGAACTTTAAAATCGATTGCGTAGGTAGGTGTTTGGCCCCTGTAATGACTTTGAAATACTTCAACAAACAGTAGTTTTCGTACATAGTGTCAAAATACGAGCCTGTTGGTTTATGTGAAAATGTAAGTGCTCGTGTCGTGTTATACCAGATACATATGGATTATGATTCAATAGGCTAAATGTAATAAAAAAACGTGTCAATGTGTTGTTTAGTTAGGTTTTCGACTGTATATGTAACACTTTGTACATGTACTATTAGAGATCAAAAGTATGTTAAGTCCCTTCAGCAGTAGGTAAGCTTTGAATTGGTATAACTTAAAATTATTTTAGAGGCCCATCTCTGTCCTTTGCAGTAATATTACTTCAGATAACACTTCATTAACGAGAGTGAACTTTAAAATGGACAAACAGTGCTTGCTTTATTGGCGGATACCCGAATCAAAGATCGGAGAGCCCTTTTTATTAATTAAAATTTGAGTAATTACTTAACTTAAAGTTACAATCGATTTCTCGCTTAAGCTTAATGTTCAACGTAACCTACATATCTTATATATTCGCCGGGTAGATGGCTGTCTTGTATAACGTTACTAAGCCATATATCCTATTTAATCTAACGCTGTTATCAATACCTTACTTATGATTTGTTTAATTCAACTTAAACATCTGAGATTTTCAGTAGATGGCTGTGTTATATTACAATGCTAAGCCATGAATCATATTTATTCAAATTTTCAATTTGAATTTACCATAATATTATTAGCTATGATTTGTTTAATTCAATCTTGACAACATATAAAATATGACATAAGTTCCGTAGATGGCTGTTGTATAGCAATGCTAAGCCATAATTCGCATTTATTCAATTTGAAGTTAAGTACTCAGTAGCAGGCTGTATTGAATAGCAATGTTAAGCCATGAATCATATTTACTCAATCTGAAGTTACCATTAATTTCAAGTTACTATTGACAGCTTACTCATAATTGTTTCATTACAAGGTAACTTCTTATATATTTCGTAGATGGTTGTGTTGTATTACAATGCTAAGCCATGAATCATATGTATTCAATCTGAAGTTACCATTGATATCTTACTCATGATTTGCTCAAAAGAAAAAAAAGAAGTACCATCCTACGTAATTAGTAGGTGGCTGCGTTACTTAACAATGCTAAGCCATAAATCTTATTTACCCAAAAGAAAAAAAATGTAGCATCCTACGTAATTAGTAGATGGCTGCGTTACTTAACAATGCTAAGCCATAAATCTTATTTACCCAAAAGAGAAAAAAATGTACCATCCTACGTAATTAGTAGATGGCTGCGTTACTTAACAATGCTAAGCCATAAATTTTATTTACCCAAAAAAAAAAAAAAGTACCATCCTACGTAATTAGTAGATGGCTGCGTTACTTAACAATGCTAAGCCATAAATCTTATTTACCCAAAAGAAAAAAAATGTAGCATCCTACGTAATTAGTAGATGGCTGCGTTACTCAACAATGCTAAGCCATAAATCTTATTCACCCTACTGCACGCATGTACTAAGTGCTCAGGTCAGATGATGCACGTGTATCTGGCTCATTTATTTATTCATTTGGATTTATTGTTATCTTGACTCATAAGTAAATTTTGCAGAAGCTTGCACAAATCAAAAGGAAAAAGGTATTACTTACGTAATACAGAAAGACACGAGGACGAACATCAAATAAGTCATATGTATCAGTCAATCTCTTTTGGTTCATTTTGAGCTAACGAATGAAGATGCTGTTAACGGATACAAATGGAAGTGTAGAATGCTGTATGTTGTCAAGCTCGTCTGCCTAAGTAAATAAAAATCATAAAAAAATGTGGTTTATTTTAGATGACTATCCATTAACCATTGACCCCTAAGAACGGTTAGCATCTAATTTCTCCCCTCAGTCAAAGAGTAAGGTCATGAGAATAAAGGAAATGATCACAAGCTTAAGAATTTCTCAATTGTTTAACAAATTTTCCTCGTCAGCATCTTATAAACATGTACAGAAGATAACATGGAGAATATGCCTACTGCTGTTAGGTTGTATATCCATCAGCGTAGAAGACATAGGTAAATTTTTGTTGATTAAAACTTGCCGCATCTCAATAAAATGCCATAATTATCCCAAGTTTTCTCATTCGGTCTGATTACCCACCCCAAACCCAGAAAAAAGTTATAATCAGGACGGAGTATTTTGGCAGACTACATAGAGCTAGAAATGTCATTAGTAATGGATAAAATAGTCTGTTTCAGCTCTATTCGTCCGTCATTGTCTTTACATGTGTGAGAAGGTATAAGGAAACGTTTGACCTGATATGTCGCAGATTACCAAACCCATATTTGCAAGTAAACAATCAGAAACGCAATCTAACATCCCTCCAATCCTACGATATTTCGTCACTGTCCTGATATGCCACGACCAAGAGATATTATATTGTTTTATAATCTCATGGCCACGATATAATGGCCACTTTCAAATTAAATAGAAAATAACACATGGGTGTGCGTAGTTATGGAATCTCTCTTCAAATTTCTCGTTCGCTGCGCTCACTCGTGAGATAACAAGTTGAAGACGTTAAGAGAAATTCCATATCTCCAAGCAGCCATGTATGATTTCTTTTCGTTACATAAACACCGTTGGCTTTTATATTACTAACAAGAAAATTCGGCGAATGACCTCTGATGAGAATGGTGAACAACACCTCGCCACTTAGGGCCTGTTTACATGGAGGTGGGGGACCCCAGGTAGGTGAGGTAACCCGCCTTTCCATATAATCTCTCATTTTATCTTGATCACGTTTTCATGATAGGTAGGGTAACCCGCCAAGGCGGGTTGCCCTTTCTGCCAGGTAGGGTAACCCTGTCAGCCGGGGTGACAATTTGCCATGTAAACGTCTCAAGGTAGGCTAACCCGCCTAGCCGGGGTCGCATTCATGGCAAAAACCTCAAAAGCTAAACACGTGTTTTAAAACTTTGAGCATTTCCTAGACGTCTCAAGGCAGAAATCACCAGAAACCGCAACGGACACACGAGAGTGTAAAATGGTCACGTATCGGAACATTAGGCGTTGTAAATCGACCATATTTCGTTTCCCAAACGATTCCTTATAACGTATAAGTCTACGATTCCTCGCTTAATCTTAAACCGCGTAACACAACGCGTGACGCTTTCATGAATAAATACATACATGTCCGAGAATTAATCTTTCGTCTTTCTCGAGATGTGAGCTTGGGACGCTTATGCTCAAACTCCCTAACTGCAAGCGCAACAACAACCTCAAGAAACCTCACCCCAGCACCCCGGGGTTGTAAGATTGCATGTAAACGTGTTTTATTTTTCGACCACGGCTAGGCGGGTTACCATACTGTAAATGTAGGTTTTATGACTGCGAGACTTGGTACAAAACTTCATTATTTGAGTTTAGCTGGTGTTTACAGGTTGGAAAAAAAATATATGTATAGATAAATATTGCCGCCATAACTAGACTTGAGAGCACTCCTACTCGCTATTAAATTGTATGTTTGTCGAAGAGTGCTGAAACATTGACATTAGCTGACATAGAATCAGTGGAGTCGGAGTTCTTAAACTTGCGTTGTATTTTGAGCTAAAAACCTCCCAGAAAGGGAGTTAAAAAAGACTTCAATGAGGAACTCGAAAAAAGTGTTGAAGACAAAAATAGTATTAATATAAGCACGTCAACACAATTTGCACCACATACGTGGCAAATAATTGACTTGAAATGAGCGATGTTGTTGACTGTCAGATTCTGAAGTATTTTCACTGAGAAACACGCGCAGCGTGGAGAGAAGAATTTGAACCATCTACATTGAACAACAATCAACGGGGCGAGTTTGCTGGGAATAAAACAATTTGGTAATCACTCCGACAGAAGTGTTAAACAAGACCAGATCGCAGTCCGCAGAATTCCTTGAGTTCCAGTGCTGCTAGTATTTTTCTTCAACTCTGATTCCTGAAACTGAAAATTTTTAAAACTAATGAGACGAACTGATTTGAAATCTCAAAGTGATAAGCATTTTTTAACTTTCTGTGTGTTCGTTTCTACGTGATGAGGTTTGTAAAACAGTTCTTATCGGCATAAAAGGTGATAGTCTTGTTTTTCAACCATAATTTATCCCTTTGTGCGTTGTGTATTGTAACTCTCGTCATCTTTTCGCGCCGTTTGTTGACTCGTACTATTCTTCTCACGGCCACTGCATAGAGTGCCTGACATATTTAAGCGCCGTAACTTCAAAATAACATCACTTGAGATTTTACTTAATTTAGAAAGAGTGAATAACTAGACGTACCTTCCTGGTACACTTCGGCAGCAAATCAGGCTCGTTTGTTATCGCCAGGGGTGTATTGGCTCGACTGCGTGCCAAAATGGTACGATTAGGTGAGAACTGGATGAAATATATATTAGATCATGCAAGAAAGAACACGTGGATGATTGTCGCGAGCGCTGGCGCTGGCAAGAAGAGCGAGAGTTTTTCAACAGGCTGTATTTTAGTGCAAAGCAAAAAGGCAAAAAAGGTTATGAACTTCAGTGCCTTCAGAGGATGAAGTCCAACATCATATCACAATCTGCCGCTTCAATTAAACAATGGTCGAAAGTAAAAGTGAGGATTCTGTTACAACTGCAAAGAGAGCTGAGGTGAGTCTGTATGTGTTATCATTTCATCGGGCGATACGATCCTTTAAAAGTTTCAGTAGTGTTACTTTAAAAATTTTGCTCGTGCTAAACAGGGCATGTGTTTTGCTGTGGGTTTTTGGTAGATGTTGCTCTTCGTGGGTAAACAAACCATGCCTTCCTCGAGAGGTCGATTATCGTCGTGGACAAACTCGTAAGAAATACACCATTTGCTTGTTAGCTGTTAGTTCAATGTGGCCATCGTGA